TATGTTCAATCTTATTATACATGTGGGAGAGGAAGGGACCTGAGCTTGGGGTATCAAAAGTAATGATAGAAGGGAATGATGGATCCAAGAAATATTTCCAAAACAGAGCTCTAGGACTTGGTGATAAATGGAAAATAAAAGAGGAAGGAGAAGATAAACGTGGCTCTGAGGTCTTAAACATGAATAACTGAGAAAAGTCAGGGCCTTGGACCAAAATGGTGGATGTGTTAGGGAGTGGCAAGTTGGGAGGGTGAGGACAGGTGATAGGGGTTTGGTTTGGGCAGGTGTACCTGGATCCAGAGTTGACTTTTGATCATCCTCAATTGAAAGTGATATTAGGACATCCAGATGGAAATGCTCAACAGGTGGTTAGGTACGTGTGAGAGAGGTCAAGTCAGGAAAAAGGAGATAAAGGTTAGAGAGGTATCTACATAGAGGTGAGAACTATGGAGACAGACCTCAATGCATCTCCCGTATTTCTATGTGGAGGGTGAGAGTGCCTCTAGAATGGAGTCATAAGGAGAAAGACCCAGTTATGGTCTGCAGGAAGATGAGTAATTTGCAAAATAAACAGGGGAATATATTCCTAAGTGTCTTAGTTCATGTAGGCTGGTTTAACAAATTACCATAGAGTAGGTGGCTTATAAACAACAGAAATGTATTTCTCACATTCTGGAGACTGGGACTTCTTAGACCAAGGTGCCAGCATGGTTGGATTCTGGTGAGGTTCCTCTTCTGGGTTGCAAGCTGCTGACTCCTTGCTGTGTCCTTACATGGTGAAAGGGGACATACAAACTCCCTTGGGCTTCTTTCATAAGGGCAGTAATCCCATATAGGAGGGCTCTGTCCCCATGACCTAATCACTTCCCAAAGTTCTCAATCCTTAATGCCATCATTTTGGGGGTTAGGATTTCAGCATATGAATTGTGGGACTACATAAACATTCAGACCATAACACTAAGGAAAGCATCAGTTTCAGGAAGATGAGGAGTGGACAGGGCACTGCTCACATACATTAAGACTGTATTTCTAAAAGACGATTTAATTACAAAAGAAAGTTTTTCATCATACATCAATTATATACAAAATTTTGTATTTATATGTATATATGTATAGGATCTCAATTATGTATACACAAATATAGAGAGAAATCAAAATGTTTATAATGTTTATCTTTAGGTGGTGAGATTTGGGAGGATCTTAACTAAAAGTGATGTTATTATTTAATCTTAAGAAGAAAGCGAAAACATTTCCATACCTGTATCTTTCATATATATATATTTTTTACAATAAATATACTTTATTCTTGTTTTTTCTTTGAGACAGGGTCTCATTCTGTCACCTAGGCTGGAGTGCAGTGGCATAATCACCGCTCACCGGAGCCTCAACCTCCCAGGCTCAGGCGATCCCCTTGCCTCAGCCCCCACAAGGTAGCTAGGACTACAGGTGTGTGTCACCGTGCCTGGCTCATTTTTTTAAAAAATTTTTTGTAGGGATAGAGTTTTGCCATGTTGCCCAGCCTGGTCTTGAACTCCTGGGTTCACTGTTTATGATCAAGTGATCCACTGGCCCTGGCCTACAAAATTGTTGGGCTTATAGGTGTGAGCCTCTGTGCCTGGCCACACTTTATTCTTATTATCAGAAAAAAAATAATTTCTTGATATCAGAAGAAGAAATGCCTTATGGGCTATATCATCTCACTTAATGTGCCCACAATCATCTGATAGGCAAGCAGTAGGGTTCCCTATTTACCTGTTGAGGTAAATATGGATTAGGAGATGGAAACTGAGAAAGATGAAGGAACTCATCTCATTCACATCATAAGCAATGCCATGGTTCTAATCTGGTGATTAAGATACAAACTACTTATATACAGTCAATCAATTAAAATGTTATTTCAAAGAAGGGACAGAGATTTGGGTATGTGTTTAGCTGTGCAAGCCGCACATTAAGAAAAGACATTTGGCAAGAAGGGAGTTACTTGTGGCCTGCAAGAGTAGAAATACCTTCAGACAGCAAGAATAACAAGCACTTTCCTCTTGATGAGAGATGACTGTGGTGGGGAGATGGAGGCAGGCATAGAGCAGTTGTCCAGAATCAGACAGTTCGCCATGGAAAACAGGACAGGTTATACTGGGAGTAACCACCCCCAATCTCAGTGGTGTAGCACAACAAAGATTTATATTTTGCCTGTGTGATGTGGGTCAGCCCTGGGCTTCATTGTGGTTACTCAGGCTCCGGCTGAAAATGATGTCATCTGAAACTGCTTCCACAGTCACCATGGCAGGGAAAGGGTAACATTGGAGTTGTGCGCTACCACTTAAATGTTTCTACCTGGAAATGACAGTGGTTTTAATCGACCAAAGCCACACCCAATTCAAAGGAAGAGGGGAAACGTGGTCCTACCATGTGCCTATAAGGAAGAGAACTAGGATATTGTGAAACCACCCTAATGATCACTGCAGCAAAACTACCCTAATGATCACCACAGCAGGGGAGATATTTTTTGCTTTCTAAGATTCTTGTTTTGGCAGCAAAGGAAACAATCTTCAGGACTCTAGAATGTTAAACACAGGAAGACCTCATGGGCATCATCTAGGAAATGAGATTCCAAGGGTATAGTGATTGTTTGCAAAAAGACAGAGAGAAACAGTAGTCATGCAAAAATTAGAAGGATACATTCTGAGGCCAGTGCCCCACATGGTCCTGGTGTGCAATACTCACTGTCCAGGGCCACACAAATTGGGAAGAGTGAGGACCTGGACGTGGGAACTTATTGTAAAACTCTGTTTTCAAGGTGTTGAGAGGAGCAGTTCTGTCTCATCTGATACTAGGAGTTACTGATGTTGGAGGCCAGTGCATCTCCATCAGTTACAACTCTGGATTCTGTCTCCCAGATGCCCAGGTTTCTCCATGTGCTTGTTGCTGAAATGACTGGAGCAGCCTGAAATCATTACGCCAAAGTGTCACTTAAAGTTGGGTTAATGTAGAACTAGCTAGTGCTTGCCCTAAGTGGTCCGGTGGCAGGTGAACTAAGAGTTGGAAACCCAACTGAGTAACACCGTGTCTATAGATTGCAGCTAGATCAGCTTCAATGAATGAGAGAGAAACTGAACAAATGAGAATCCAAGAGACCTCTCACTCCTCTGGAATCAATATTATGTTGAAATAACGATTAGTGACAGAAAAGGAATCATGAGGACACAGGCCACCTCATATGAAGTATCAGGCAGACTATCCGAATTGGCATATGGAATGATCATAATTTTTATTTTTATTTTTTTTTGGACACTGCTATTGAGTGTATCAAAAAATAGAAAAAGGGAGGAAAACTAAAAACTGCTTTAACTTCATCACATATTGCTTTGGGCTTCTAGTTATATTTGTGATGTTCTGTGAACTTACATGAAAAACTAAAAAGTTTATTAATACTTTTAAATTTTATATATTTGTAAAGTTAAAGAATAATGCAACTTATTCTACAGTTATATAGGGGTGGTTTTGTCACTTTTATAGGCTATTCTTTATATTCCTTGCTTTTTGAACTCTTTTTGGCTTTGGCTTTGATTTAAATTATATGATCATTAAGTTTCCTCTTTTTATCAGGGCAAAATGAAGGGTTTTCTGAATCTTAAAAGCATGTAATTTACTTTGGATGTGAACTAAAATGCTTATTCTGAATAAATTCCATGTAAAACTGCAGAAATTGTGTAGAAAGTCTTTATGAATTGGAACTTAACATGTCATTGACACATTTTGAAGGGTGTTCTGTTGACTTTAGTGATGGATGAGCCTATTCTGCCAAGTTCAGCTGGAAGGGGTATTTTAGAAAGCCAAACATCAGCTCTGGAATCTAGAAACTTCCTGGAATCATGATTTTGGATCAGCAGGGTGGATACAGCCTGCATATGTGCAAGGGATGGCATTTCACCAGCTTGCTCCACGGAAGTCTTTGGAACGGAACCATAAACACCAGCCCTCTTTGTTGTGTGTTGGTTTTTAAGAGTCCCCAATGGTTTGGGGAGGATAAGGCTTTGCCTCAGGGCTCCCTGGTCTCATTTTTTGGGACCTGGCTGAAAACCCTGGTTATTTGATAGTCTGGCCTATTTCTATGGTGTATTAGCACCCTATAAAAGTTACATGTCATTTATTTCAAGTTTAGAACCCTCTCAAACTTCAGGGGTAAACCAAACTTGAACCTTTTGTGGCTGGAATTCTGTTTACCTTTGGCCAAACCTTGCTTCCTTAATGTAAGGCTGGGAGGGGCTGGGAGGTGAGGTGAGAGGGACTCCTGAGTCTCCCTGGACATCGAATAGCTTTTACCAAACACAGCTATGATACGTTAAAACAGGACTGAATCTGAAACATGTAGATTAACTTTCTGTCAAAGTACCCTGGGGCCTACACACAAAAGTATATTGTGTTGGGCAAAATGCATTTTGAGTGCTGCCTTCCTTCAACGGTGAGGGAGTATCTGAGAGTTTTGCCAAACACAGGTTGAAATTGGGTCAAGCCACTCAACCCCTACTTCTAATAAACACATTAAATCGTTTTTATAAAGGTTATTGGGCAATCCAAATTTATCCAAGGAGACATGTCTTGTGTTTGAAACATTTTTTTTAGGGTTTTTGTTTTGTTTTTTTATTTCCTTAGGTTTTGGGGGAACAGGTGATATTTGGTTACATAAGTTCTTTAGTGGTGATTTGTGAGATTTTGGCACACCCATCACCCAAGCAATGCACACTGAACCCAGTGTGTAGTCTCATATCCCTCACCCTCTTCCCACCATTTCCCCCCCGAGTCCCCAAAGTTAATTATATCATTCTTAACCCTTTGTATCCTCATAGTTTCAATGACAAAGAAAGAAAGGGCTACAAGGCACAGTAGCCCAGTCCAAGGATCCCTGTGATTCTTTTGTGTTTACTGTTGGAACACAGGCTAGCAAGGATATCTCGCACTTGAATGGAAAAATAACACACAGAGCTCCATGTGCTTTTCAGATAGAGGAACTGATGAATGCACTGGAGAAGACCAGACAGGAGCTGGATGCCACCAAAGCACGCCTCGCCTCCACACAGCAGTCCCTGGCTGAAAAAGAAGCGCACTTGGCCAACCTCCGTATTGAGAGGAGGAAACAGCTGGAGGAGATCCTGGAGATGAAGTGAGTACCCATTGTTGCTTTTGTAGCCTCTCTCTTCTAGCCTCTCTTGAGGATGGGAAAGGGGAAGGGCTAGAGAAGATGAAGAAAGAGCTCAGAGAAAGAAGAATTTAGCTAACACTTGCCTGGTCATTTCTGAAACGATGTATTTTATTTTTTATTTGTAACTTTTTGCATATTTCTCTCATCTGTTATTGAAAAAAATATAGATCCAGCACTAGGTTTTGTGTGTCTGTGTTTTGTGGACAGTGCTGGGATTCCTAGATCTGTTGCAAAGGTCTGATTCAGCCAAGAGGCTGAGGCCTCATTAAGCACAATGGTAATTTGAGCACTGCTCAGAGTTAAGTGGAAATTTTTCTGAGGAGGTATTTCCCTAATTGTGACTATAACTTTGCTTATTATATTCTTTTCACTTGTGTACAATGCCTGGTTTGTGTTGGCTCTCATAGAATCTCAAGGTTGGCACCTCTTTGTTTAGAAAGTGAAATTCTGATTTGCTGGGCTTCTTAGGTTAGAAATCCCACACCCCCACCACACCCCACCCGAGTCGGGGCTTGGGAAGCTAAAGTGGGGAGATTGGATGTCAACCAATTGCTTCCTTTGATTTAATCAATGGTGTGCAACTGAGTGCTGGGAAATGGTCGTTCCTGTGGTCCTGTGACATACCCACCTACGTTTCACTCTTATTTCATTCTCACAGTGAAATAGTATCATAGGAAGAACAAGGGAAAGAAAATTACCAAGAGATTTTAATAATAATCAGTTGTAGTCGTTCTGTCTGTAAAGAACTAGTCAAGTAGCATCTCTATGTTTTTAAATGAAATAATCACTAAGTTATAATTTAAATATAACTTTCCTCCTCAATAAGGGGAAACATACATAATTATGGCATCTTAAGCCTGTAACACAGACTTTGAAATTGGTGGCTAGGTATGGAAGTGACCTTATCATGACCCAGCAAGCCTTACACATGGTTAGCATTAAACTCAGAAGGCTTAGATCATGGAAAATATGGAATAAAATATTTTGAAGGATTTAATAATGAGGACAAAACATTTATTCCTCATCAACTACCTCAGTTTCTCCAAGACCAAAGAATAAGTAGGTTTTTTTTTCACATATAAACCAGCATTTTTTTCTAATAAAAGGTAATATAATAACAACAGGTATTATTATACTCAGTTCAGAGGTAAGGGAGCCGATACTCAGAGAGATGCAAATAATTTGCTTAAGGCCATCTGGCCACAACAAAACCAAAGTTTTTTTACCTTAAGCTCCATTTCTGCTACTTAATTTTCTCGAGGAATTTATGTTAATTCATCAAGACTGGAGCGTTTGTCTGTTTGAGTACTGTGGTCATCATGCTGAGGAGAGCAGTGCTGGGCACATGGGAGGTGCTCAGTGATTGTTACCCACGACCGTGTCATGCATGTGGTAGGTGCTCAGTGGTTTGCTGAGTGAGTGACTAGGTTGAATGCTGGAGACTGAATTTTATGTAGTTAAGAATAAAAGTATTTTAAGTATCTGTGATGTTCTCACCATCAGTAACTTATTAACCCTATTAAAAGAAAACATGTTTATAAGCACAACATACATAAAATATTGATGTTTGCCAATAATTACTATTGCTTAAATGATTAACATATAATTAGTTGTGGAAGATGTGTATGAATTTAATTGACACTCAGAAAAATTATAACTGCCAATATGTGTGTAAACACTCAGCTAAGAAAGATCAAAAGTATAGTGTAATATTAAATCATTGAAGAAACAGCAATATTCAAAATGGAAAGTCCATTTATGAATGTATTCATGTTAGAATGTAAAGTTATGTCTTTTTGTAATGTCTATATACAAAGTTCACAAAATGCTTTATTTGAGAAAGTTTCCGTCTTGCTGATATTGACCAACAAAACTTCATATCCTAGAAAAAAAGATGTTATGATTTATACAAGAATACAGAAAGATTTGGAATTACATATACTTCCACCTTCATTTTGGATTTGATTTTTGAATGGAGGTTAAAAATACTGAAATTCAACTTATGACTTAGTTTTACCCTTGGAAAATTTAGCATATGCTTTTTTTGCATCTTATTTTCACAATAAATGTAGTATAGAATAAAAAAATTATTAACAATAGCCAATACTAGTATTAGTGCATTAACAATAGGGGTCCATTGATCCCTTTGGCCTGTATTCTTTTCTGTTCACCTGTCCCTCTTCTGCCTCCCTGTAAGTTATATGTCAAGTCCAGCCTAGTTTTTTCTCCTTGTTTTCCAGCTTTTCTCAAGTAGTTAACTCTCCATCTCCTGAAGTGATTTATTATGCCATTATAAAGAAATTTTAATTACTTCCTGTTTATAAAAGGAGCATAGATTTCCAGCGTTTTGAGAGAACAAGTAATGGTGAAGTATGCTGGTTTGTGAGTCATCAGACCCAGGTTGGAATCCTGTGGTTCCACCTGGTGGCTGTGTGACTTGAGAGAATGCCCGTAGCCTCACTAACCTTCCAGTTTCCTCCTGAAATGACTTGCATGGGGGTGTTTGTGAGGAGGGGTTCTCAGAAGAGGTCTTGGCACACAGAAAATGATATATGTATGCAAATGGCGCTATCAGCCAATGAAAATATGTCCTTTGTTTAGTATACTTTGTGAAGAGTATCATTTATCTAAAATTTGGATTTATTTTTCTAAAACATATAAACTTTTTCCATGTGTATGTTTTCCCACTTAACTTCATGGTTTCAGATAGCACCTAACTAAGACCTCTTTTGGTGAATTGCCACATTATTGCTGAAGTGCTTAATCTGCTGCCACTGCAAAATAAATACAAAATTCCTGTGTTAATTCCTTTGGTGAAAGTAACAAAGCCTTGGTTCATTAAGCCCGATATGGACCCTATTCACTATTTAACTGCCCTGGAAGCCCAATCTGTGGGCTTCTGCTCTGGGACTCTGGGAGGGCTTAGGTACAGGGCAAGTATATTGACTGCGATCTGCAAGGAGAGGCACCAGCCTCTTGGGCTGTTCAAGTTCGCTCCTGATTTGATCAATCACAGTGTTTAAGCTGAGTGGACACACTGGTTACTTGACATTGAATTCATTTACGTTTATGGGAACAGCCAGATGGGTATTATTGTTGGTGAATTATTATCATCTGTGCCAAGCATTGCTGGTTTTTTATTCAATGGGCACCTATCATCTTTAGACACGCATCTTTAGGTCAGTTCTACCCAGTTTCCAAACCCTGGTGGGAAGGGAGAGGCCTGTGGTGTTTAGAGGGAAGAGGGGTGGGGCCATGACTCAAGAGAAAGGAATTGTGATCTCATAACTCATTTCTGTCTCACTCCATAACATTAAAGATCACTCTCTGGTTGCCTCAGTTTTCTCTTCAGTAAAATGGAGGTGATAATACCCACTTGCTTACTCTATGGAACTCGTAGGGATAAGTTTTTTTTTTTTTTTAAGTAACAAACTAAAATTAATATAAACCAGCATATGTGAAAGTGCTCTGAAACCTAAAAGGAGCTTTTGAAATGAGAGTTGGTGTCTGTGGAATTCATTGTAAACCCAATGGCACAGAGTTTTAGAATTGGAAAGCAGCTGGGTCCAACCTCGCAGGCTGCACAAGCCGGTCTTCCATTTCACAGGATTACTCTTAAGGAATTCACCAGGCCCTGGTGAACACCATTCCCACTGGATGCCATGGGCTAATAAGGTGGTGGTTCATGCTCCATGGCTCTTACAGGTAGCTCATTTGTCCTTATGTTGAACTGAAATGTCTTTCCATTTGTCTTGGTTTTTGTTCCAGAACTATATAGAATTTACCTGAATACCCTCCAAAGTTAGACATTTGTTTAGATATTTTTTAGGTGATACTGTTCATTTTAAAGGAAAAAAGAGGCAGTATGGAGAAACAATATGAAAAAATAAAATTACTCATGATCCTAACATGCAGAGAGAGACACTAATAGCATTTTGGTATATGCCTTTGCAAACGCTCCTTATTTTGTAAAGAAAATTGGACTGTACTTGCATATTTTGCAAATCCCTCTTCTTTGTGAATGTGAATAGCCTTCTATGTTGCAAACATAGGATTGTATTATTTTTAATTACTCAATGTACTGTCATATAGGTTTATGTCATTATTGGGCATCTGTCTTAGTTCCAGTGTTTTGATAAGCATTCTGCTATTTAATTTTATTTTATTAACATATTTGTGAATACCTGTGGATTGTCAAGCTGTCGCAAGAAATAGTACAAAGAGGGTTCTCATACCCTTCAACCATGTCCCTAATTGGTAACATCTTGCATAACTAAAGTACAGTATCATGTGAGGAAGTTGATATTGGTGCAATCTATCAGCCTTCTTCAAATATCTCCTGTTTTACATATCTGTGATTATTATTCCAATTTCTCCAGTTTTACATGCATTCATTTGTGTGTATGTGTGTATTTAATTATATGCACTCTGATCACACATGTAGATTTGTGTCACTCATACCACCATCAAGATGCAGAACTGTTTAATTGTCACAATGATCTCTGGCCCTCTCTTTTTATAGTTACATCCACTCTTAGTCTGTTTCATTTTTACCCAGAGTTTTGTTTTGTGTTATATCATTGTGGGACATGTGCCACACTGACCTACATTTTCTCCTGCCATTCTTCTTTGGCTTCTCTTGTTTTAAATGCAGACTGGATTTAGAGTGAGTAAATATTGCCTGATTCTTCCAATATAAAGATTTCTCATGATGTGATTTTATTTTATTTACATTGGAATTTTCCCATGTTGGATATTGAGAATCTACCACATGGTAGGCACTCAAAAAGTGTTTGAAAAATGAAAGGATTAATTAATTAAAATGTGTAAATATTCACTGACGATCTACTATATGCTAGGTACTGTTTTAGATGAACAAACTGGACCTTGTTAAGCTTGCATTTTAGTAAAATGAGTGAAGGAAACGAATGAACAAATAAATAAGCAAATAAATGAACAGA